CATTTATCCTATCAATGGTCAATATGTCTTGGAAATTACATCATATCCAGATGTATTACCCCTAAAGAAGAGGACAATGCCAGGAAGGCCCAAGAAGAAACGAAGACTAGAGGCTTGGGAGTTGAAGAAGAATGACAGTGAATTAAGAAAGGGTGGGAACAAAACATAATGTGGTCTCTACAAACAACTTGGACACAACAAAAAATCTTGTCCACAAAGACCTCCAACAATAGTGCTTCCTACTAACCAATCTACTCAACAAACAGAAGTCACAATAGCTCCACCAACAGACACATTCTCTCGTCAAAACCTAAAAAATAAAACTAACATTTATGCTTACATTAAACTTACCTTGAAGCTAGGACAATCCCAGAATTTTTGCCATTGTTTTTAGAGGTTCTCGTAATACGAAACACTACATTATGACCACAGAAGCAAGTAGGTTTTACACCCAACCAGCTACCATTACCACTACTGTGTTGAAAGCCGCAACCCGTGCATTTGCAAGACGAAGATGAACGAGACATTTCTCTGCTGAACAGTGTTTCCACAACCTCTTCTTGCCTAAGACGAAGATGTAAAACAATTTGGATGTCAGGGATGTTAGGGCTACCAAAAAATATAACTTTTCCACGTGGACTTGTTGATTCTATAACACATCACCCATTCAATTTAATACACAATGCCACACCATCTAAAAAAACTAAAGCTCAGCATCTGTTTAACGCTCTTTATGAAAACTTAACGGACAGGGCAAAATTAGCTCAATTTTTCAAATATTTGGACCCAATTGAGACAATTGCAAATACGAGGACCCACTTGAGATTACCCAACAAATATAAGGACGACCCAAAGGTTAAAACCTAAATTTAATTTAATTTTTCTTTTTACGATTAACATCAGTATAAGTCTGTTAGAAATTTAAATAGATGCAAAATTAGTCTGATTCTCTTTAAAGAGACTTAAAATGAAAATTTAAATCTGCTATTAGATTAACAGACTTAAAGTAGCATCTTTAAATTACAAAATTGCCACCACATATTTTTTAAGTTTGATTTTCTTTTGAAAGACTTAAATTAGCAGACTTAAAAGCCTATTTTTGTAATAGTGCTTCTTCTTCGACCCACATGAGGATGAAGTGCCTTCGAATGGGACGGAAGGCACATACTAAGTTTTCCCTCGACTATACTCGTCCATAGCTGGGAGGGATGTGGAGGTAGGGCTAAAACCCTGGATAGATGGGCTCTTCAGGAATGTATTCCATGTTCTCATTAAGATCAACCTGTACACGAGCCCTTCCCATCCAGGTAGAATGTATGTGAATTTCATATCAAAATCACACGCGACAAAAATATTTTGAGTTGGCCAATCTTTTCTCCCTCGATATCTCGGAGCATCTGATTTTTGCACCCTTACTCGAACATGAGTTCCATCTATGACCCCTAAACAATCCTAAACATAGAATGAACAAGTCATCATAAAACTCAAAAACATTATTCTTATTTTATAAAACAACATCTTAATAATTGTTGAATCATTACCTTAAAGTACGGGTAAAGTTGACAGTTGTTCAGGACATACAGATGAACCTCATTTCCTGGGGACTGAATTAAAAATTCAAATTCTAGACTAATAATACAATCCAACAAATTGTGAAAGTGTTTGCTAACAATTGCTCTAGATCGATGGAAGAAAAATGGTACACTTTAATTCTTAACATTATGGCCAACTATATGAAGAAATTGAGCTACTAGTTCCTCCACTGTAAACCAAATGACGTCCTTAACTAACCCAATTGTTGTTTAGTCTCGCACAAAGGTAAATAAATGCCTCTGGACCCATCCGAGTAATGTTGCGACACCAACTAGTATACAGTGTGTACAAAATTAACTATTTCCTACGACGATCTTTGTCTGGTAGGAAATTGCTTACACTACTTGAATCACTCGAGTGCATATTCAATATATTCAAGGCTTGTCCAATAATGCATAACATTGCTAGAGCGACCAATGAGGTGGTTATTTGTAATTTTCGATGTAGCATTGTGACTATATTAAAGTCTACACCAACCACATCATAGTCTATATCTTCACCGTCCAAAAAAGACAAATCTAGTTCTTCTTCCATCTATATTTACTTAAAGAAATATACACACTATAATTAAATAAAGTATAATACATTTAACATAACATACAACTAAATAAAGTATAATACATTCAACATAACATAAGCTTATTACCAAATTCATGCATTCATATATTCATTAAACATACGACATTCATATATTCATACATTCATATATTCATATATTAAATAAACATAATAATGCATTCATATATTCATTAAAAGTAAAGGTAAAAATAAACATAGCACGTTAACGTAGTCATATATTCATAAAAGTTAAAGATAGTATAAGACTTACCTCTTGAAGACTTATCAAGATTTCAAGCAAGATTGAGCCAAGATTTTCCACTTAACCTCCAAAGCAATGCCACTCACAGATTGTCCAATTAAATTCATAGATTTTCCAATTAGATGGTAATTTGAAATGTCAATTTTCAAAGAGTCACCCTAACAAACCAAACCTCCAAACATAATTATAATTATATGACTATATTATATCATAAAATGCTTCAAGAAATGATAACTTTGTTAAACATCATATACCTTTATCCAACTGCACAGAAAGCTTCAAAAATGCTTTAATCTTCATTAAAATCCACCACCTTGGTTGCCCTTCAATGATGCATCACAAAAGCACCACAAACAATGCTAACGCAAAGAAAGAACCTCTTACTTAACACACTTCCACCATCTTCATAAGCCACCAGCCACCTTGCTCTTTCCTAATACCTGCAACACTATTAAAACTTGTAAACAAGGGTTCCCAAGACTACCAAACTCGTTCACGGTGATATGATAAACACCTTCGCAATTCCACGACCTTTGCTACCTTCACAAGTGCACCATAAAGGTCCACCATGAGTTGCACAAGCTTGACAATAGCTTTACCTAACTCAACCAAGATTCACCTAATTCCAACACCTTCACGTACCTCGACCACCTTGACAACTCCTTCACCTGCAACATAAAGAAAACATTGGGTTAGGTTGCTCAATGATTCTGGTGCATCCTCAACTTTGTCATGTAGTGCTTCAACGACACACTCTGCATCCTCCACCTTCATCACCGATCATCACTAACTATCCTCCATCCTCCACTCTCGTACTACCGCTTGGCTGCCCTAAGTAGGGGTGCTGAGTGCCAGCGCGTTGGACTTGGACTCTTTTTTTTTGCTCTATTTAAGGATTTGTTCATCCTAGGGTTGGTATCTTTAGGCAGCAGAGATGCAAAAACACATTTTTTCACTCTCTGGAGGCAAAATTGGATGCGGAAGCTCTCCTCTTCATTTTCTAGGATTTTTCTATCACTTTCATTCCATTATACACCTAGTTTCTCCATGATTATGGAGAACTAAACTCATTTGTTGTTGAGGAAGATGTAACCTCTAAACTCTCATGTATTTGAATTTGTTCTGAATTATTATATGCTTTTTCATTAATTGTTAGGGATTTTCTCCTTTGCTCTATGCTTGTTATGTTTTGATCATTCATAGCATGATTTTATGGTCTTCTTTGTTATTGGGAAATACCTAAAAACCACGATCTGGAGAATTTCTCCCAAAAGAAATATTGCCCAAGGATGGGGATAGGAGGTTTGGTTCTCTTAAGCTTCTGTTTGTAATGCAAAATTAATTATTAGGGAAGGGATTGTGGTCTAATAATTAAGGTTAGGCTTTCTTCGCCGAGGGATCGAGTTTTAAGTAATTTAGATAGTGACATTAACAGTTGAATGAAGAAGATGAATTTCTATATGAGAGTAAGGATGGTGAAATCTAAACCCCAACAACTACTCATCTCATAGTATCAAAATCATCCATTCACTTTTGTGTTTTGCCCCAATTGATCAATTTCATTCATATTACTTTTTCTGTATTTTGCATTTTAAACCAATGAAATTTTTCTTAAGTCTTAATAGTTAAGGTATTACATGATTAGTGTCGTGAGTCTTCTAGGATACGATACTTGGTCTTACCATTTATAATACTTGATACAATTTGGTACACTTGTCGAGGTCTTAATAGAGAGTTTGAGCTTACAATAAAAGAAAATGGAAGAGATGAAGACCCAAGGAAGAGGAAGGAGAGAGCTCCACCACACCCAAACTTGCTCCAAGAGGTCTAAGAAGGTGAGTTTCGTGCTTCAGCCGCCAAAAGATGGCACCCTCGTTGCATGGTAGCCCTAAATAGGTCTAGGGTGCCACATAAGCAAGTGTCACGCTTAGCGCTCAGACAGGAGGGCGCCCAGGCGCAAGAACGCAAGGAATTGCGCTCAACTCCCTTTCTAGGGCACCCGGGCGTGAGAAATGCGAACCAAATGGGACTCAACCCCCTTTTTGGGGCGCCCAGGCACGAGAATTGCGCGAGGAATGGTGCTCAGCCCCCTTTCTAGGACACCTAGGCGCGAGAATTGCGAGGCAAAAGAAGCTCAGCGCCCCTGGTGGGGCGCGCAGGTGTGAGAAATGTCTTCATTTTCCTTCAAATCATGTGCTCTTGCAGCTTTTCCTGGGTTCCAGCTCTTGATAATTTTGATGCTCTTCCAATGCACACAATTTGCCTACAAAAAATGAGGGAATTAGTGATGAAAACCCTAAGTGTGACCTAAACTAGACTTTTTCACAATGTTAAATGACAGAGAGGATTAAGCAAGATTCAAGCTCAAAGAGAGTTCATTTGGTATGAAAAATGCACCACAGATAATGGTAAATATTACCGTTATCATTATCCCTATAAGTGTTATTTTTTAGATAGTATTTTACAAATCAAAGAGGACAAACATGACATTTTAATTTAAATCACTCTGAATCTTAACAAATCATTGAAGATTTGAAAACCATTATACACTAGTTCAGTAAGGGGAAAACCATTATACACTAGTACATTATGAAGGAGAAGAAGAAGAAAACCCCATAAGCGAGAAAGGCCTCATCCTCACAATAACCTGCAAAAAAGGAAAGAAGCGAGAAAGGGAAGTTAGATCGAAAAGAGTAATAGGTGAAAACAACCTTGACGCCGGAATCGGAGGATGCGGGGAGGGAATTGTCGGTTAGGGCTTCGGCAGCCATGGCGAGCTTTCGCTTGAGAGGGTTGGAAGCGGGGGTTCTCGGAGGCAAGGGACTCTTGAACTTAGTGGGGGAAGGAACGACGAGATTGGGATCGGAGGGAGGGTCATTTTCTTTGGAGTGTTTGTGCTTGCGAGAGGGGCGGGTTTTGACGGAGTTAGGAGAGGCGACTGTGGTGGCCGCAGTAGCGAGTGGAAGAAGCGTGAACTGCTTCATTTTGGGGCAGAGAGGAGAATGAAATGGGGAAAGAAGCCTGTGGAAGAAGAATTCATTTTGGGGTAGAGAGGAGAACAAAATGGAGGAAGTGCACAACCTTTAGCTCGAGAGAAGTGGAGGCACCGTCGACTCCTTGGAGAAATCGTCGGAGGCAGCGACGGTGAAAGCAGGGAGCACCAGCGGAGATGAAGAAAGTGCGAGAGAGAAAAGAAGAAACGAGCGCGAGGAAGATAAACAGTGAAATCTGAATTTGAACCTACGAAAGAGCTATCGCTTCAGTTATACGGCAAAATCGTGCCTATACCGTACGACGTGGGCGCCAAATCGAGGCAATATAGTTGGATTTTGGCAGAGGGTATATGCCTCAGATCTGTGGAAACTGAAGCAAGAGAGTATATGCCTCGGGTCTGGAGTGAACCGAAGCAGAAAAAACATTCTATAAAGTTGTCAGAAGAAAGTCTGATTGCTGATGGATGTGACAGTGGACTTTATAGGCATCGATTGCTCCATTTAACCGAAGCAGTATAGCTAATATGCATCGTTTTGTATTTAACCGAAGCGTATAAGGTTTCTATATTTACAGTAATGCCACTGTGTACTTATATGCTTCGGTTTCGTAGTAACCGAAGCGTATATGATGCGTTAGTAGGCTTTTTTTTACTAGTGTCTCGCAAATTATTCTCAATTTCATCGTCTTATATCACTGTATCACGTCAAACAAATACAACTTTATTAGCAAATAATCGTATTTTCTCTTCAACAGTACTATACACTAAAGCCAAGTGTCAATAACCATTCTAGAAAAAAAAATTTAGAGTTAGTTCTGGATTTGTTGTTATATGCACAAAAACAAGTGGTGTGGAAAACCATTTTAACTTACCCATCCGTGCCAACACTAGTGCAAAATTGATTTTTAACGTCACTCCATGGACGTCCGTCCACCAAAACCCCAACTAAATAATTGACCGGTGGCATAAATGTAAATAATTGAGTGTGGAGACGTCCGTCCTAGAAGGGCCGGACGTCTATTATATAGTAGACGTCCGACCCCTCTAACGGACGTTCAAAGCCTGACGGGTGAGTTGAAGATTCAGCCTTTTGAACGTCTGTCCTAGAGGGGGCCGGACGTCTATATAGTAAACGTCTGTCCCCCTCCAGGACGGACGTCTATATATAGTAAACGTCCGTCCCCCTCCAGGACGGACGTTCAGGAGACTGACAGTAGTTCAACCCATCAGTCTCTTGAACGTCCGTCCTGGAGGGGGACGGACGTTTTAATATATATAGAGTCCGTCCCCCTCCAGGACGGACGTTCAAGGGGCTGACTGGTTCAACTACCCTGTCATCCTCTTGAACGTCCGTCCTGGAGGGGACGGACGTCTATATATATTAAACGTCCGTCCCCCTCCAAGACGGACGTTCAAGGGCTGACAGGTTCAACTACTCTCTCAGTCTCTTGAACGTCCGTCCTGGAGGGGGACGGACGTTTATATATATATAGACGTTCGTCCCCATCCAAGACGGACGTTCAAGAGACTAATGGGTTGAACTACTGTCAGTCCCTGAACATCCGTTCTGGAGGGGGACGGACGTCTATAATATTAAACGTCCGTCCCCCTCCAGGAGGACGTTCAAGGTGCTGACAGGTTCAACTACCTCTCAGTCTCTTGAACGTCCGTCCTGGAGGGGACGGACGTTTAATATATATAGACGTCTGTCCCCCTCCAGGACGGACGTTCAAGAGACTGAGAGAGTAGTTGAACCTGTCAGCCCCTTGAACGTTCGTCCCCCTCAGGAACGGACGTTCAAGAGAGCTGATGGGTTGAACTACTGTTAGTCTCTTGAACGTCCGTTCTGGGGGGGACGGACGTCTACTATATTAAGATGTCCGCCCCCCGCCCAACGGACGTTCAAAGACGTTTAAAATAAGGACTTACTAACCAAAACGCGAACCCGGAGGAGTTATGACGAACCCGTGAGAGTTCCTCTACGCCTTCCTTTTCCGGTTGGTTTTTATCTGTTTTGGACCATTTAATCTTACTTTTATTCCGATTAAATTGTTCAGTGATGAAATATCTTTCATTTGGACCGATTAAAAATGGTTTTCTGTGCATTTTTGTGCAGTTTGTAGCGTGTTCTTGGGCGGCGTTTTTGGCCTACGTTTTAGGTCGTTTACTCCTCCATCTCCCTCCATTTTCATTTCGAATCTGCTCTTCAAACGTGTTGCAGTGCACAAACAAACGTCCAAACCCTATAATCCTAAATAACCCTAAATAACCCGTAAATAACCCTAAATAACCCGTCTAATAAAGCCCTTTCTGCAGTAGTGTATAGACGTCCGAGAGGTTCACAACGGACGTCTATATAGACGTCCGCCTGACACAGCGGACGTTTATATAGACGTCTGGCCTGACACAACGGACGTCTATATAGACGTCGGGCCTGACACAACGGACGTCTACATAGACGTCACCCGCAAAGACGTCGGTCGAACGTCGGACGTCAAAAAGCCTAAAGAACGGACGTCTATAGCCCTTTCTGCACTAGTGCAACGTGTTTTAATGTAAATTCAATTATTCATTTTGATATTTTAAATTTTTAAAGAAAATTACAACTCTTTCTAACATTACTTTTTATCTGTGCTGATAAAAAGAAAAATTTTACTTGTACTGCGGCTAAATACAATTGGTTAATGTAAGAAATTGAAAGTGGGATAATTGATATAAAGTATAAATATTTGATTTTTTAATGGTAAAGTTTAAATAGAAAAAAAAAGAGTTAACCATTCAAACTTTATTTATAAAAATCATTACGTTTCTATTTCTCAAAGATATGGTCATCATTTTGTAGAGATCTTAGTGAATAATAGAGTACATTTGTCTTATTAAAATTTATTTTAAAGTAAGTTTTTTTTTTCTTATTTCTTTTGAGTTGGTTCTGAAAAGTTTTATATATAAGAGGATTAGAGGTCTTATATGTCATCCTTAGACTAAAGATGAAATTTTCTTAGTTTAGAATTATAAGGATATGTTCATATACTTAATAAAGAATTCTTTTGTATAAATATTTAGCATAAACATACAAGTCACAGTATTTGATTCTATGCTGGAATATTGTGTTAATTGAATATAAATGTTTGAGTTTGAGATAAAATTGTTTGTTTTAAATGAATGAATTCAAAATGAGAGATTGGTTATATATTAAGTAATGAAAAGTTAAAACATCACTAGTGCAAAAATTAGGTTCTATGATACTTATTATAATAATTATACTCCATCCGTCACAATTATTAAAACTGTAACATAATATTAAATATGATGAGACTTTATAAGTCAATTATTACTATAATTGAATAGGAGAATGATAATTTTTGTGATAAAATTTAACTTACATTACTTTTAATTTAAAATAGAGAAAATAAAGATACAATGATGTTATTTTTTATAACTGACATAATATTTTTAATTTTCTATAATTGACATAATATTTTTAATTTTTTCCTTTTTTACTCTTAATGAACTGCACTTCATTTCTCTTGTACTCGTCGTCTTCTGATAAATCTTGTGGTGTGGTTCTCTCTCGCCTTCTCGTGCCACTCTCATCACTCTCATCGTCGTTTTCCATTGCTCTCGTGGAGTGGGAGTGGTGCTCTGGTTCTCTTATTTTTCTCTCGTTTAGGTTTTGTTGAAAGATAGAGAAGATAAGCCTTGAACCTAATCTTTGTTTTACATCAAAATCCTTTCTGCTACCTTCCACCGGCAGAAGAAATGGCTTACTGTAAATAATAATAAAAAAAGTTCCTGACAAAGTTCCCTTTTCAAAGCCACACAAAATACATTTTCTTGTAATAATGATACCAGTAAAAAAAAAACATGATTCTTTGTAAGAGAATGACAGTACATGGCCTCTGCTGTTTTGCATGTAGTTCAAATGAAAAGAAATTTCGAGTTGTATGAGAATGACCCTTCAGTCTAACTTGTTATATTAAAGATAAAGTGGAGGAGGAAGTAAAACAATTATAGATGTAATATACACGGTAAAAAATGTTTACAAAACTGATAACACAAGTGAAAGCTACAAGGAAGATTAATAAAATTCTTGCTTGGATTAATTCTTACACTAGTAAAAAAAGCTTTTTTAACGCGTTATATATGCCTCGGTTCTACTGTCTCGAGTTATATATGCCTCGGTAAATATTGAGCAGTTATATGCCTCAGTTATATTTGAACCGATGCCTATAGATGTTACTGTCTCGAGTAAAAGGCCAACCGAGGCATATAATATAAATTTTAAATGGTTTAGGCACCGGTTCGCTGTGTAACTCATGCAATTAAAGGGTTTAGGCACCGGTTTTAAATATAACCGAGGCAGTATACCCTTAGGTTAATATCAAAAACCCTCTCTCAGACTCTCGCACTCTCGCTCTCATCTCTCGCGCTCTCATCTCATCTTTTCCTCCCTCCCTCCGTCACGATTTCTCCTCTCCACCAAACCCCATCATCAGACCGCCACCATCACCAGTCATTACGATCGCCGCAAGCACCGCCGGTCACCACGCGCAAACCCACAAGCAGCGCCGTTCAACCACGCCGTGACCACCATCTTCATCTTCTCACGCCACGCGAGTAAGGTTTTTTCTTCCTCCTCGAGCATCGATAGCTTTCTTCTTCCTTCTCCACACCACCTTTCGCCTCGCCGCCATCGGGAGCCACCACCACCTCGTCGTGTGCGACGACTTCGAGTGCGGCTTCCACCTCGCCTGCGACTACATCGCCGCTAGAGTGAAGAGCAAGCGGTGGCCGATCCAGATCCAGATCTCGATCCCGTTTCTCTTCCTTTTCATTTTGTTTCTCAGATGGTGTTGTTCGTGGACCGCTTGGTGCGGCCCGTGCCAGTGGTGGAGTCGCTGGCCTAGCACCCGCTTGCCGCTTGCCGTCGGGGGCCGCTTCCCGCTTGCCGTCGGGAGCCGCTTGCCGTTGACGATTTACAGAAACTGGAAA